CAAGTATCCTCACGTCAATAAATCTCCTTGTTGTCTAGTGATTTTTGAGGGCTTATTTACAAAACTACACTGAAATTAAAGTTTATTTGACCCAGAGTATCTGGCCTTGGTGACACCAAGAAACATCATGCATTTTCCATGTCCTATATCATGGGTAGGCAAAGTGTGGAACCAAAGTCTCTTATCATCCCCTCCCATTGAAAAAAAAGTTCAGCACAATTTTGAGGCAATTTTTGCCCCCTAAGGCATGAAGAAAGACCTCCAAACATGTGGAAATATAAAAAAAACTGCTACCATCCCACAACAACAAGCACCCAGAATCTTTTAATACCTTTATTTTCCTCTGCAGTCCTCCTCAAAATGGTGACCAGAAGTGACAGGACCTCATTTCTTGTTGCAATTTTGAAAGGGACTGCAGAGGAAAACAGTTCCTTGGTGTCACCAGGGCCAAATACTCTGGGCCGAATAAACTTTAATTTTAGTGTAGTTTTGTAAAGAAGCCCTCAAAAGTCACTAGACAACAAGGAGGTATTTGGGCTTGCCGTGGGGGGATGAAAGCCCCAGGGGGGTGTCTGAGCGGGAAACTGGCCATTGTCTCCCACACAGTTGCTCCCCTGTTCTATATTTTAGGGTGGGACGACTGAAAGGTAAATAAGGATCCAGGCTTGTCATGCTGGTGGCCATATTGGCTGGGAAATGCTACACATCTTGCCCCAAAATCAACTTCTGGATCTAAAGCAAAAGCGATTCATTTGTATAAAGGATCTCTTTGTTCTCTTGTTCGCTCTGCCAAGGATCACTCCCAAAACATGTTGGGATGAATAAGCTATATTTCAATTACACTCTCAGTTCCATGTTACCTCCTTCCACCCTCTTCCTTCCCACCTTTCTCCTTTTGTTCAGCTGTTTCCCCCCTGCTCAATTCCCAGCTTGACCATAAATCCCACTGGGTGACCTTGGGCAAGTCACATGCTCTCAGCCTCAGGGGAAGGCAATGGCAAACCTCCTCTGAACAAATCTTGCCAAGAAAACCTCATATTAGGGTTGCCTTAGGGTTGCCTTAAGTCAGGAACAACTTGAAGACACATAACAATAACAAACCTGCCTTAAGGTCAAAACAGTGAATATGTGGCACCTAAACTATCCAAGAGACCCAGAATAGTGTAGTGGTTTCAGCATAGAATTAGGACTCTGGAGATCAGGGTTCAATTCCCTGCTCAGCTATTGAAACCTGGATGACCTTAGTCGAGTCACACACTCTCAGCCCCACAAAACTGTGATAGGTTTGCCTTAGGGTTGCCATAAGTCATAAACAACTTAAAAACACAAAACAACAAACTATCCCAAATCCTACCCAAAGCAAGGCCTCATTCTGCAACCTGCACCAACATTATGATCAATCTGGCATATTGTCTTTTCATTCAGAGAGAAAGCGGGAGCAGCTCTGCCCTGTGCATGTTGCAAGATTCCCCTCAAATCCACTCACTGTTTGGGCTTCTGAGATTTCTCCAGATATTGTTTAGGCATATATGCTTTCAAATGATATGGGCAGCAATGGGGGCCAGAAACATGCTTTAAAAGAAAACAAAAGGAGGGTCCCAAAATGCTGAATTCTAATCCCAATTTCGGCACAAACAGTGCAAAGGTTACTAGTCTGACTCCCAAAATAAGCAAGGTATATAAGTAGGGAGCAGGCTATGTGAAATAATTTTCAGTCTGAAGGGAGAGAAAGACCAACAGTCAGAGGGAGGGAGACTTCCTTACTACTAGCCTGGAGTGAGTTAAAAATTTCCTCCAAGCGATCAGGCTATTTTACAAACAAACAAGACTACAAGTAACCCCATTCTGTGTGAAGGAGGACACACATGTGCCCCATCCTCAAGTCCTTTGGGTTCATAATTCTTTGAGAAGTTTCAGCGACTTCCTCTTTTGCAGGAAGTCCAATGTCAGCAGCGCCAAAGCTTTTCCCATTATCTGAACACTGCGGGAAGAGTTTCTGCCTTGTGTGTCTTCTCTCGTGTGTACTGCAGTGGGACCTCTGGCTGAAGCACTTGCCACAGTCTAAGCACTTGAATGGCTTCTCGCCCGTGTGGGTCCTCCGGTGACGAACGAGATCCGAACGGTGACGAAAAGTCTTCCCGCAGTCTGAACAATTGTACGGCCTCTCTTTGGCGTGCATCCGTTGATGCCGGCTGAGGAGCGAGGGCTCGCTGAACTTCCGCCCACAATCCAGGCACCTGTAAGGCTTGTCGCTCGACGTGTGAGTCCGCTTATGCACAACCAGGTTCGAGCTGTCGCTGAAGCTTTTGCCGCAATAGGAGCACTTGTAGGGCTTCTCACCCGTATGGGTCCTCCGGTGGCGGACCAGGTAGGAGTTCTGGCAAAAGCATTTCCCACAGTCCAAGCACTGATATGGCTTCTTGTCGGCATGTATTCTCCGGTGTGCAATAAGGTTGGAGCGGTCGCTGAAGCTCCTCCCGCAGTGGAGGCACTGGTAGGGCTTTTCTCCTGTGTGAGTCCGCCGATGTTTAAGCAGATCAGAGCTGCGGGCAAATCCTTTCCCACACTCCATGCACACTTTTTTCCTCTGGATCCCTTCTTGGGCAGTGGTTTCCCCGAGTTTCCGGCCAACTCTCTGACAAGGGACTGACTTACAGTTTCCTTCTGCAAAAAGGCCTTCGTGTTGATTCTCTCCTTTGTGCTCATTTTCAAAGGCATCTAGCTGCTCCTGGCACAAGAAAGCAGCATCTCCAAAGGCCTCAGGCGGTTCTGTTTTTTCAGAGCATTTCAGCTGAGGTTTCTCTTCCTCGTTTTCACTCACCCACCCGTCGCCTGCTGGAAGGTAGAAAAGGGAAAAGAGGCACACACCAATCATTCCTTGTACAAAAGAAAAAAGAGAATTTGAAGGGGGAAAAGTGAGATGTGACTATAGGAATGAATATATCACACTAATATTAAAATCACTGCACTGGCTGCCAGTTATTTTCCGGGCAAAAAAAAAAGTGTTGGTTATTTCCTTTAAAGCCCAGAATTCCATAGCATTCAGCCGTGGCGGTTAAAGTGGTGTCAAACCACATTAATTCTGCAGTGCAGTTGTGGCCTAAGGCTAAGGAGGGAAGGAGCAAAACCAAGCTTTGCTAATGGTGTTCATTTCAATCCACTCCCTTTCCTGACCTGAGTTACTCACCCAAAGAGCTGGCCTCTCCGTCACTGTCTTGCTTGGCCTCTCTGTAGAGCTGCCACTGTCCGTTGTCTGATGAGCCTTGCTCAGCCTTGGCTGCGTTCCCAGGAGTTTCCTGAAAACCCTTTGGCACCTGAAATGAAAATGATGCAAAGAACTCCTTTAGGAAATGGGGCAGAAAGCTCAAGGGCTCTTCCCAGCTTTTTGCTCCCAGCTAGAGCCAAGCTATAACTTCTTGGAATGACTTTTCTCATAACTCAGAGACACAGCTGTGTTAGTCTGCAATATCAGTATGCAAAGGGATCTTGTAGCATATTTGAGACTGAGTGAAAGACATTGTAGCATTAGCATTGGTAGACTTGGTCTACTTGCTCAGATGCATGGAGTGAACTGATGCCCAAGAAGGACCTTTACAGATTGTATGAATAGCCATAGAAATGACAGCAGGAGCTCTTTGACAGTGGAATGCATTGCTTTGTAGAATGGAGTTCCTATAATAAAG